GCACCAATTGCCTACGTGTCGAAAATTCGAAAATTTCTGGTTGAATGGAAAGCGCCCACAACTTCACAAAATAGATAAGAGGGCTTCACAGTATGGATGCCCGCCTTCAGTTGTCGTTATTTCTGGTGTTGTTATTGTTTTTCTTTTTCTTGTTTTTTGATGTTTTGTACCACTGTTGTAAATAACCAAAAGCAGTTTTCTTCATACCTATTTACCTAGCATCGTTGGAAGTGAAACAAAAGAAGACATCCCGAAAGATGAAACCATAAACGTGTTCTCAGTAGCATCTGGTCATCTTTATGAACGTTTCTTGAGGTAATTTATTAATCTACGATGCATGATTAGCTTAATCTAGCAACATAGCCAGTGTATTAGTCTGTGTATTATTTAAGAAATAGAAAACATGTACCGTGTTTCAATCAAGTTTTAGTATAAACCTACTAGCGTTCTATCACGAATGCCGTTCTCTGATTGACTACGCTACCCTCTATCTATTTAAACAGTGGAGCGTTTCTGTCCAGGAACTATCGGCTGAGAGTTGTCCCGCGGAAATTAGATGTTCTTAAAACAAATATTTGTCCAAGAAGCGAAGCTTCGAGGGCAAATATGCTATAGTTTTAAGAACATCAAATTTCCAAGGAGCAACTGTCAGACCGATAGTTCCGAGACATAAACACTCCATTGTCTTTATTGTTCACCACTAAATTTCCTTCCGTGCGCCAGTTCAAAAATGGTATTAAATTATTTTCGACTTTTTTAGATGAAAGCCGTGAAAGCTAAATGTAAAATTTGAAAAAGAAAACAAACAAAAACCCTCTTAATACAAATTCAATTGTTTATTTTCTATAAGCCCGCTTGTTTACTGAAATATTTTCACGGACAAGTACTATCCATCCGGGTATTTTCCTCGGACGGGCACTATGGGCTGATTGTGTCTCTCCGCGGATGAACACTATCGCGTCACGTGATCAATTTAAACCAAAAAGAATCGGAAAAAATTTAGTGGTGAACTATAATCTTTGATAGATAGTGAGTAGCGTAACAGTGTGCCCTTGCTAACAAAATAACGGACGCTTCTTGGCGTTTTCGAAGTGTCTGTGAAGAGGATTTAGATAAAGTTTTGAACGACCAATAGATTTATACTAAAACAATTAGATTATTCGCTCTCGATTTTTATGCGTGATAGAAATCTCGAGCTCATAATCTAATTGTCTAATAGAAACACGATTTTTAACCAATCAGCACGCGTATTTTCTTAGGACTGTTTTTTAATTCAGTATGTTAGTGTGTTTCTTTTTTCTGATGTACAAAAAATTGATATAAAAAAATGGAAAAAAAATCACCACAAAACAGTAGTTTACAGACCGTTTGCAGTCTGTTTTTCTCTCGAAAATTAGGAAGAGAGACTGCGTAATGGTTTTAAGAGATCGGGACGAGACAAAGAGCGGCGCGAGTGTTTCTCGTCTCGTCCCAACCTCTTCTCGTCCATACTGCTGTCTTTTCGTTCTACTGTTCAGGAATAAGGTGCGGCTGAAAGCACTCAGCAGAGCCTGAGAAAAGAATGGCTGCAAAGTGTAACAGACGTCAAAAAATTCAAAAAGCTAACTGTTAACCGAAAACGAACAAAGATGATTAATATCGGGAAAGACTGGGACGAAACACGAGCTTGAAGAGTATGATAGCTCATTTGATCAACACAGCTTGTGTCGTTCTCTACAATCTCCAGGTTTTTTTAATATTTTTTTTTGCTCATACCTTTAAATAACAACAACTACCATATCCACGTGCCTTCTTTAATATCCCGCATGGTTTCCACAGAATGAAGAAGAGTAAAAAAGGAACACTTAAACTAATCAACATAGCCTATTGAGAAACGTTACCTCGCCAAATCTTTAAGAGTTCTGTCTTTAAAAATATACCTCGTTAGAGTTTCTAGTTTGTTTCCAAAACTACATTTTGGATGAATCATATTAGCTCAAACCCAGTTCACAAATTCACTCAGTTGAGAAAACACGGTTCCGTTATAACTCTAATGTTCATTGATCGTTTGAGTCGAATAAAAACCACCGCACGGTGTCAATGGTGAACCGCTTGTGATATGGGAAGGGCCTCTCTGTTTGAAGACGTGTTACTAGTTTAGTAGCAGACCTAGATCACTGTAAGCTGAACATCACCGTGGTATTTAATCAGATCGCTAATAACCTGCAAGTTTAACAAAAGTGAACACAAAGAAGTCGCTGCTGTGTCTACTTGAATACTAGGGCGGGTTCGCTTGAGTGTCGAACTTCAGTATAATTCCGCATTTGCTTTGGTTTTGCAAGCTTCGCTTAGTGATTGCCTTAGAAAAAAAACCTCGCACCACTTTGCCATCAAGAGTAAAAACCAATTTTGACTCGCTCGCACACGTTTTTCCAACGCTTCATGCCGGCTACATGCATCCGCTTAGAATTTTGATTGCTTCACTGTATTGTCTGTGTCCTTTGTGACTGGCCATAGCAATTACTTTGATTTTTGGTTTTATTACACTCAATAGGCCATTTCAATGTTGTCTTTTGCCTCTGTGTCAAAGCGAGTCTTCGAGTGCAAAACCATTCATGTGAAAATGTGTTCCCCAGACAGATTCATTTTTATGCAAATCAAACTCATTTCCGTATCAAAAGGTTTTGCGCGAGGACCTTTGAAATAGAGGCACAAGGTTGAAAACTGCTCTGATGCAACTTCATAGCTGCCTTTTAATTTGTTTACGTATTCCTCTTGCATGTGTAGTTGTTGTTGTTTTCTAATGGAACACTAACATACTTCTGAAGATTTTCTGGTATTCTTTTCATTTAGGATTATGATGTTGACTGTCATGAAGAACACCAAAAACCCTGTGAAGTTTTGGTTTCTTAAGAACTACCTCTCGCCTACGATTAAGGTTTGATGATTAAGTAATGAGGTCATTATTAATTAATTGCCAAAGTTGATGGGTGAATAATAATTTCGTTTAAAAATACGGTCAAAGTACTATATGGTAATAACACTACAAGCCATAAACAGTCCCATTTTGCCCGCTCTCAGTAGCTTCCTCGCTCGTTGAGCTCTCCGTTTAATGAGGATCTGAACTTTTAAATCAAGGAAATGTATAGGAGCAAAGGCGGTGCACACAGCAGCCGGTTGCTTGAAAGTACAAAGCAGTGAGTTCATATTAAACCTCTTTTTCTCGCGACACCGTCCAAGCCTTTTACTGAAATCATTACAACAAGCTCCAGGAAGCTGGTCTTGTTACATATGCGAGAAATAAGTAGTGTTAACTACTTATTTCTAACTACTTAT